TCCACTGATTCCTCTATTAATACCAAATCTTCAATAAAAGGAAACAACATCCATTACTGAAATATTTTCCTCTACTGATTCCTCCATTAAATCTTCAATACTCCCCCTCAAGTTGGAGCATGAAAGCCCAACTTCCCATTGAGATGGCGAGTAATAATAAGTGTGAATGATGAAGAGAGAAGACGAAGAACAATGCTACCGAACACACCGATAGCCTAAATAAGTCAACAAAATATTGTCGGAGACACGGCAAAAGCGAACACAATACTTCCGAACACACCGGTAGCCCAAACAAGTTGATAAAAATTGCCGGAGACACGATAAAGACGAAGACAATTCTACCGAACACACCAGCAGCCCAAACAAGTCAATAAAAACTGTCGGAGACACGGCAAGGCGAAGAACATTACTGCCGAACAAACTGGCAGCCCAAACAAGTCACAAATAGCACCGAGAAACCCTTAGTAATATTTCAGATGCTAAGGGAATACCCAAAAATAGGGGTCTGATCCTAGGAAGAGAAATTAAGCTACGATACCATGTTGTAAAGCATAAAACAGAAGCAAAGAGGAAAGAGAACGAGTAGAACACATAAATATTCCGTGGTTCAGCCACTAGGGCCTACATCCACGGCACAAAGAGCCCAAAGGGCTACATTACTTTTATAATATTCTCTCAATTCATAGAAAATACAATGCCAGAGGCTCCATTATATAGGAGAAGAAATTATGAGAATTGAAAGAACTAGAAAATAGGAAACAAGGAGGATTTTTTTCCACTGATTCATCTATTAATACCAAATCTTCAATAATAGGAAACAACATCAATTACTGAAATATTTTCCTCCACTGATTTCTCCCTTAAATCTTCAATACTCCCCCTCAAGTTGGAGCATGAATGGCCAACTTGTCATTGAAATGACGAGTAACAATAAGTGTGAATAATGAAGAGAGGAAAGAAGACGAGGAACAATGCTACCGAACACACTGACAGCCCAAACAAGTCAACAAAATATTGCCGGAGACACGACAAAAGCGAGAAGAATGCTTCTGAACACACTGGCAACCCAAACAAGTCAATAAAAACTGCCGGAGACACGGTAAAGATGAAGAAAATGCTGCCGAACACACCGGCAGCCCAAACAAGTCAATAAAAACTGCCCGGAGACACGGCAAAGGCGAAGAGCATTACTGCCGAACAAACCGGTAGCCCAAACAAGTCATAAATAGCACTGAGAAACCCTTAGCAATATTTCAGATGCTAAGGGAATACCCCAAAATAGGGGTCCGAACCGAGGAAGAGAAATTAAGCTTAGATACCATGTTGTAAAGCATAAAACGAAAGCGAAGAGAGAAGAGAACGAGTGTAACACACAAATATTATGTGGTTCAGCCACTAGGGCTTACATCCACGGCACAAAGAGCCCAATAGGCTACATCACATTTATAATACTCTCTCAATTCATATAAAATATAATGGTGGAGGCTCCTTTATATAGGAGAAGAAATTATAAGAATGAAAAGAATTAGAAAATAAGAAACAAGAAGGATTTTTCTCCAATGATTCCTCTATTAATACCAAATCTTCAATAATAGAAAACAACATCAATACTGAAAGATTTTCCTCCACTGATTCCTCCCTTAAATCTTCAATAAAGGTTAATTCTGTATTTTCTAATTTTTTGGATGTCTTAGGGTTTGTTTATGGTTTTGCCTATATAAAGGCTTTTTGTAACCTTAAGCACTTTTTTTTTTAACCTTAATCCCTTTGATTATTGAATTATATTTGTGGCTTCAGAACTAGTGTTTTCCTCCCTCCATTGTTCTTGTTGTTCTAAATTCCTCAATTTGTCTAGCATTTTTTTTTTTTTTTTTTTTTTGTCTATTTCTTCATCCTTTCTTCTAGTCTCATCTTATCTTCTGAATTTTCATCCCCTACTTTTTTCTTTTACACAAATTGTTTGAGCTGCTATATCAATTGCTCTCAGAGTCTTAGGGCACCTAATTTGTCCCACGTCAATTGGATGGTTCTATATCAAAGGTCCATTAAGGTGATTTGAGTGAATAATTTTAGGGTTAAAATCATAAAACCCCCCCTTTACTTTCAAAATCCTGCATAAAACCCCTAGTAGAATGTAAATAAAAAATAAAAAATAAAAAATAAAAAAAAAAGGAAAAAAAAACCTGAATTAACAAAATTTATCAAGTTACCCCAAACCCGTGACCGACCCGTTAAATGGGTTGTGAAATGTCAAATTTGACCTTGCTATTTAATATTAAATTAAAAGTTATAATTATTCTTTTAAAAAAATGCCCCTTTATAATAATATTATTTAATGTTAGATGAGTTGTTATCTTACTAGTGATCAATGACTCATTTCTCGCCCCCAGTATTATTTTTATAATTTTAAATAATAATTATAGATTTTAATTTAGAATTAAATAGCAAGGTCAAATTTGATATTTCACAACCCATTTAACGGGTCAGTCACGGGTTTGGGGGTAATTTTGTTAGTTCATGGGGTTTTTTAATTCTACTAGGGGTTTTAAGCACAATTTTGGAGGGGGGGGGGGGGGGGGGCGGGGGTGTTAATGAATGGAAATTTATCAGTCTCTCGTACTGCAAAGAAAGTTAACTCATCTTTGTGTCATATATTTATTGCAGATGACCTTTTGGTGACATGTAAGGCCTCATTATCTAATGCCAGAGTTCTTTCAGCTGTCTTTAGAAGATTTGAAGAATCCACTGGCTTACAGATCAGTCGGCAGAAGAGCAGTTTTATTTTCTCTAAAGCAGTAAGAAGGAAAAATGCTATTTTGGAGCTGTCACAATGCAAAGAAGACAAGCTACCTTTAAAATATTTGGGACTTCCTCTCTGTACAAATGGCCTGAAGAGATCCCACTGTAATGCCTTGATAGACAGAGCTTCTCAGAAGATTCTCTCTTGGAGCATTAGGCTGTTATCTGTTGCAGGAAACGCTGAGCTGTTGAAAACTGTGGTTTCCCCAATCTTTCTATATTGGTGAAGTGTTTATAATCTTCCTGCTGCTGTAATCAATCAACATTCAGAAGCTGTGCAGGGGCTTTCTATGGGGAAGCAAAGAAAATGCTAAAAAGATCCACTTGTTGAGTTGGGATATGATCACTAGGACCAAATCTGAAGGAGGTCTGGGTATAAGGAAGCTGGCTGACATTCAAACTGCCTCAAAGTGTTTCTTAGCTTGGGATTTTCTAACCAGTAAAGATAGACTTTCGGTTTCCTGGTTCAAGACTAGGTATGCTGCTACCTCTTCTTATTGGAATGCTATACCTAGGGTTTCTCATTCTATTGTTTGGAAATCTATCTTAATTATCTGAGATTTCATGCTGCAACTACCTCTTTCTCAATTGGTGAAGGGCAGTCAATACAACTATTAATGGACCCGTGGTGTGATGGACAAACAATTACCCAAAAAATTTGGTCATAGGGTTGCTAGGAGATTATCATTCCCTAGGGACTCTAGTATTCATAATCCAATGGCTAATGGTACCTGGAATTTCCTGCTGTTACAAGATGATATTTTTCTGCAGTTTAGAGAATTCCTAAATGTTATCCCTATCCATTCTAATGATGATAGAGTTCTATGGAAGGGTGGAAGATTCTCCTTCAAAAAGGTATGGCAGAAATGTAGGAACTCTTACGAGGAAGTTGATTGGCATTCTATGTGTTGGGGTAAAGCTAGTCCTAGATGGTCTGTTAATGCAATTTTTGTCATGCATGACAGATTCCCTTCAATGGTAAACTTGCAGAGAAGGAAGATCCATTTAGGTCCCAGATGTTCAAACTGTCTCAAAGAATGTGATTCCAGAGACCATGTTTTTGTTTCTTGCCAGTTTGCTCAGGCAGTTTTGTTATGGCTTGGTGAGGTGCTTGGTTGGGATATTGACCACTCTGCTGATGTGATGCACTTCTGGGATTTGTTTACCTGGTTTAGACAGAGATACCATGCTTCAAAAATACTCAAGTGTCTCTTTGTTGCTGCTTTGTGGGGCATATGGCAGGAGAGGAATGCTAGACTTCATGGTGCAGCCCATAGAGCTCCTCAGTCAGTCGCTAAGCAGGTGTTGTTTGAAGTCCTTGATGTCCAGAATGCTTCAGTTCAAGATCTTATCTCTTAGTATGTTGTTCTGGTGTCTAAGTTTGTATTGGAAGTGGGCCTATTCATTATTGTTCTTTAGGATGTACTTCTCTTTTTCCTTTTCTCTGAGGGTATGCCCTTTGTGCATCTATACTTGATTCTTCCATCTTTAATTCAACACCATTTATGAAGAAAAAAAAGGTTCATTTGTGAGCTTACTAGGATAAAGAATTTATAAAGAAATAGTGATGAATCCATATTTTATTAAAACTTGTCACCTTTAACTTATTAGTTTAATATATACTATGCATCCATATAATGTTACTTTCCACATCTTGATACAATTAGTACATATTGCTACCAGTGCTTGTATCGTGTCAATTGTTGGGTGCTCTAGTAATATTTTAACATGAGCATGTGTCAAGTTAAATGGTTCTCTTGTAATAATATTAAGTGATGGTATCTCAAGTAAAAACAAGATCGAAAGGAAGCTTGGGAAAAATGATAGCTCAATTTGTTGGACCACAAGGCAATCGCACAATAGAGTAGTTGAGCTAGAGAAACATGCCATTGTATTTGATATATACACGAAATAAACGAAAAGTGGTCCAAAGAACAGCAAGCATTCATATATGACTCTATTTGTAGTTATATATATATATATATAATACACATCTATATAGACAATATTAGAGTGTTAAAAGAAAAAAAGAGATGAAAAATTAAAAGCCACATATTCAGCAATAGAGGGAGAGACCATACTGAAAGAAACTATAATATGAAGTACACCATAAATGTTACACTCCCTCAAATTACTCCTGCAAATTCTTCCAATATTTGAACTAGCAGAAATAGAAAATGATTGACTAAAGCACAAATTACCGGGGGTGGAGCTGCTTAATTTCTTCTGGCTTGCCATGCAACTTTGACATAACTAGGCGAACATAACTGCAAGAAACAATCTAAGTTGGTTACTTTAAATGATTCATAATGTCGCATTTTAAATATAATTAATACAATCTATATCAGTAAGGTTATTTAAAATTCCCCCCACCCCTCTCCTTCTCTTCCTGTAGATATGTTTTAGCACATCACGCACTCTAATTCATTAGAGCCTTGGGTCACAGTCCCTCAAAAGAAATATAATATAGAAGAAAGAGGAGAAATATGTAAAAGGTTTGAATGAGATTAAATTACTCATTCACAACTCTAGTATTTATAGATAAAAAGAGCACATGCTCATATTACAAGAAAGGAAATTAAATCAAATCACGGCATATTCTATGGATAGACATATGTGTAAATAAAGTCAAACTCCATGATTTGAGGCTATCAAATCTTTGCTAGTATGGTAAGTAATTCCATAATTTGTGGCTATCATATATGTGCTAACTCTCCTACTCATATTGGTGCATGGATATCCGAGACACCCAACTTGGACAATGCATCCTCAAACACAATCTTGCTCACGCCCTTTGCAAGAATGTCTGCAAGGTGCTGAGAGCAAATCTGACTAGCAATGATTTTCTCTCAAATGAAGTGCCGATCAACAAATCAAAGTGTCTCCTCATAAACAATCAATGTCTCCTCAGATCATAAACAACCAACCATGTGTTTTGAGACCATAAACGACCAAAAATGTCTTCTCAGACCATTTTCCTTTATACACATATCTAAAATATGTAGAGCTTACTCAGAACATCCATCCCCCTCTCACTCATATGCCCAAGCTGCATATGCCACAATCTGGTAGTATCCGAATCCGGATCCGAGGACGACACAGCAACTGAAACCGTGATTGTGCTACCCTACAGAGCATATAAACCATGCTTCTTCAGTCTCTTCATCACCATAAGAGCACCCTTGAAAACCCGAATGACTCCACCTCCAGCCTTACAAGTGCACCCGATGGAATCTAGCGTACCCAGGGAAATCATATTCTTTCTCAGTTCTGGTACATGCCTGACATCAGTCAGTGTCCTCACTATGCCGTCATACATCTTGATTCGAATTGTACCGATACCTACAACCTTGCATGCCGCATCATTCCCCATTAGAACTTCCCCTCCATCAATAGATTAATAAGAGGTAGACCAGTCCTTGTTTGGACAAGCATGAAACGAGCAACCCGAATCAAGAATTCACTCATCGCAAGAGCTGCCGACTGAAATTGTGAGAACATTACCACCATTTGAATCATTACCCTCTGCAACAACCACACTTTCAACTTTAGAGGACTTTACCTTTCCCTTTTTACGTTCTGGACAATCCTCTTTGAAGTGCCCTTCCTTGTGACAGATGAAACATCTCAACACCTTCGTTTTGTTCTTAGACTTAGAACGACCTTTGCTGCCAGACCCTCCCTTCTGATTCGTTCTCCCTCTAACAAATAAACCCTCTGCCGAACTTTCTGCATTGCCATCAAACGCCCTTTTCTGCAACTCCTTAGAATTCAGAGTTGCCTTCACATCTTCCATGGACAAAGCAGTTCTGTCATACATCATTGTATCGACAAAGTTCTCATACGAGGGTGGTGGAGAACACAACAGAATAATAGCCTGGTCTTCATCCTCTATCTTGACATCAATATTATTCAAGTTAATGAAGATAATATTTACCTCGTCAAGATGGTCTTTCAGAGACGAACCTTCATGCATCTGAAGAGTGAACAACTGCTTCTTTAGATACAAGCGATTCGCAAGAGATTTCGTCATATACCAAGACTCAACTTCTGCCACAGCCCATCCGCCGTAGTCTCTCCAGCAACTTCTTGCAAAACTTCGGTACTCAAGCACAACAAAATTGTACTGTGTGCTTTCTCCATAACCTCATCTTTGTCCTTGATCTTTTTTGGCAGTGCATCCTTCCCCTTCAGCGCCTTGGATAACCCTTGTTGAACCAACAAAGCTTACATCCTAACCCGCCACAGGTTGACATCGTTTCTGCGGTTAAACTTCTCGATTTCCAGAAACTTGGACGACATCCTGCTTTGAACCGAAAGCTCTGACACTAGTTTGTTATGACAAACACAATGAACCCAAGTTAAATTAAGAATCACGACAGAAAAGTAAACACGCCACACAAAGATTTATACGTGGTTCGGCAACAGCCTACGTCTATGGTTGGGATCCGGCGAAAGTTTTCACTATGTGTCAAAATAGATATTACAAGTTTTCATCCCCTCGCTCTGTTTTTGTACGAATTTCAGAGTCTCTCTCTTCCACCACTCCAAACCCTAAGCGTCATTATATATTGGGCTATAAGAGACTAGTTAGGGTCCACGACCCATGAGCAAAAAACGGGTTAAAAAGTTTTCCAACCAACAGGTCGTAGGTTATAAGTGGGTCGCAACGCGACCCGACACCAAATTCGGGCCACAATATCACACTAAGTAATTCCATAATTCGTGGCTATCATATTTGTGCTAACACTCCCCCTCAAGTTGGTGCATGGATATCTGAGACGCCCAACTTGGACAATGCATCCTCAAACACAATCTTGCTCACACCCTTGGCAAGAATGTCTGCAAGGTGCAAAGAGCAAATCTAACTAGCGATGATTTACTCTCATACCATTTTCCTTCGTACATGTATTTAAAATATGTAGATAGAATAATCAAACATGTGTTTTGAGACCATATACGACCAAAAATGTCTCCTCATACCATTTTCCTTCATACACATATTCAAAATATGTAGATAGAAGAATCAAACATGTCTCCTCATACTATTTCCAAATGGATGGTGCCAAACTCGCAATGCTCTCATTGCAGTCGGACCACCTTGGCTCTGATACCAATAAGAAATACAGAAGAAATATAAAAAGATGAAAAATGAGAGAATTATGTAAAGGAATGAATGAGATAAATCAGTCTTTCACAACTCTAGTATTTATAGATTAAAAAAGCACATGCTTATATTACAAGAAAGGAAATTAAATCAAATCATAGAATATTCTATGGCTAGACATATGCGTAAATAAAGTCAAACTCCATGATTTGAGGCTTATAAAATCTCAGCTAATATTGTAGTAATTCCATAATTCGTGGCTATCATATTTGTGCTCACACCTCAGTAGTTTCAATAATCATTATCATTGTCATTGGTGCTATTTCATCATCCCAAGTGTGTTTAATGTCATACTTTGTATAGTTTTTACAGTAATCATCATCTGATTTAGATAAGCTTCAATTGGTGACTTCCTTATCCCTCATATAAACTTTTAGGTGTCGTTATCATCTTCATTTCCTGAATATATAAATTAGGTGTGTGATCCACAGATTTTTTTTCCTGAATAAACAATGTAGGTGCATATTCACTTCACCACTTGATGCATAAAGGTGAATGAGAAACACAGAGATACTTAAAAAGTCCACTAAAAAATGAAAAAGAAAACAATTTTTAGAACATCCATCAAGGTACTTCACAATTTTGTAGTAACCACTCTCCTCCACACACTCTTTTCTTGAACTACTTAAGGACCAATTTTCCAACTTATTGAACTCTTATTAAAAAAAATTCTTTTGTCTACGATTATTAGAAAATTTCAAACCTAATAGCCAGGAGAACAGTAAAGGTTAGAGATGCTAATCTTTCATATACTATAGTATCTAATAATCATGAGAAGTATTTCATTTCCTTCTACAAGCCCATATGCATTAATGATCTGGTTGGAACCATCATAAAGTTATTTCATGACTGGCAGTAAATTGATAATTTAGCTAGAGCCTAGACCAACTAAAAGCATGTTTAGCGAATATGTGTGGCCTCCAGAAAACCTAAAAATGAACACCAAATAAAGAAACAGAGAGAAGATGCTCATATGATACGTAACTGGAGATAAATCTGAAAAAGACAATCCTCAGGGGTAACTTGAAACCCAATTTATTAATATAGCTTTTGGCGTAAATAGTATGCCCAGAAAACCTAAGGATAAGAATGGTTGCCTGCACAAGAGCATGCCACTACTGTGAAAAGATTAAACGTGTATTAATGCACTAGTTTAGGAAAGAAAAACCACACCGAATCTCAGAGTCCTTCCGCTCTCGAGGACTAACCTGAAAGGTGAACGATACAGGTGCATCAGGTTTATAAGAACATTAAAAGAGAAATAAAACTGCAGCATGCCTCTTCTAGAACTTACTTCACTCCCATTTAAAACTTCAACTTTTGCTAAGTGAGCAATCAAAACAAATCTTGGCACTCCACCTCTCCCAGGATCGGCAATGGGATTCTCAGAAAGCCTTATATCCTTATCAAACAGAAAGAACAATCAGTACAGAAAGACCAGTGATCAAGACAAAAAAAAAAAAACAAAAAAATAGGGTTTCGCCTCAACCAATTGCATTGAGGCTTTGTTACACAGAGGGTGAAAGTCAGTCCTGCTTAGCCATCTGCTTGGGATGTTAACACCCACTCCATAGCAAATCATATTCCAAGTAATTATTTAGGTATATAATGAGAGTCCACATTAAGGATTGAAAGATCACCATTCCACGGTGATTATTATTTTAAAATAAGAGAATTAACAGTGAAAATGGAACAAAATAGTCGCTCTAGCAGATAAGACAAGCAGGACAGTATACAAGATCTATCATTTGCACCTGCATTATTATTACAGATTGCACAGATTTTGGATTCCCAATGTATTTTTACAGTATATATATTCACCTAATTAGATAGTCATGAAAAATGTTATGAACGCACTCAATGACTTCACAAACCTTACCATCAAAGAAGGGAAAGAATTGAGTGAGTCAATAGATGCCAGATCCTCAATGTTATTACTTCCTATAATATAGCAAGTAGCCAATTATAACACAATATAAAACAACCAAAATCAAGGAACTAGGAGTACTCATAAAAGAATTTTGAATATTACCTAGAAGAAGGCAACGTAAACTTTGGAAAGGTTTATAGCTTTTCTCAATTGATTCAGAACCATTGGGCAGTGCATGCATTCCATTATGGTCAGAGTACCAGATGCGTTTCAAATTGTTCTTATTCAAATAAAGCTGCTCCAAACTGAATACAGTGAACAAATCATAACAGCTTTCAGAACTTAAAATTACACATTAATATCTTCAGTATTAACTAAATGGGAGATATATATACCTTCTTAGTTGATCAAGCTTCAAGATATCATCCCAATCAGCTATACAATTACCCTCCAAATTCAGAAGCCGCAGGGAATGAAATCCTTGTACAATAGTGGAGGATGTAGGCTGGAGAAAGAAGTATAAAATATAATAAAGTGAAACAAGTCGATCAATCTAAAACCCAGTGCAGTCATTCAGGCATTTGAATCTTGATAAGTGAACTGCTACACACAACTAAATTGAGCTTTATAATTTTGATAACAACTTCTAGCTCAGAAGGATCTGTATTTTGACCCTTCCTTGACATGAAACTGAACACAGGTGAAAAAGAATAAATTCTGATATTCTCTTTTCATATTACATATATTAGTTTACAGGCCTATACATATAGAAGTGTAATACAAATTCTAAGGAAAAGATATATACAGATCATAATTCCTATAATATAGGAACTACTTATGAAAAATTTTAAAAAGTCAACTATCTAACTATGGGTAATTCCTAAAAATTTTCCCTAACTAATTTCCTAACAATTCAGCCTAGATCTTTCCACATTCCCCCTCAAGTTGGCTCGAAAAATATCTTGCATTCCCAGCTTGCATGTAAGATTGTCAAAGTTCCCCTTCGGTAATCCTTAGTGAGGATATTGGTAATCCTTTAGTGAGGATATCTGCTACCTGTTCTCCTGTAGGAATATAGGGCATACATATCACTCCTCCTTCCAATTTCTCCTTAATGAAATGTCGATCAACCTCCACATGCTTAGTCCTATCATGTTGGATAGGATTGTGAGCTATGTTGATTGCAGCTTTATTATCACAGTAAAGCTTCATAGGCATTGGACTTGAGATTTTAAGATCTTCAAGTAATCTTTTCAGCCACAAAAGTTCACAAATTCCATGAGCAACTGCTCTGAACTCAACTTCTGCGCTACTCCTTGCTACAATGGTTTGCTTCTTGCTCCTCCAAGTAACCAAGTTACCACCAACATAAGTACAGAAACCTGAAGTAGACCTTCTATCCGTCACACTACCTGCCCAATCAACATCGGTATATGCTTCAATCCTTAGATGGCCATGGTTTTCAAGCAACAAACCTCTTCCAGGTGATCCCTTTAGGTATTTGAGAATCCGGTAGATTGCCTCAAAGTGTTCTTCTCCTGGTGAGTGCATAAATTGACTCACTACACTCACTGCAAAGGCAATATCTGGCCGGGTGTGTGAAAGATAAACAAGTCTTCCGACCAGCCTTTGGAATTGCTCTCGGTTCACCACTTTTTCTGCACTAGCTGCCTGCAACTTTAAATTGGGCTCCATAAGTGTTTCCACTGATTTGCAGCCAAGTAAACCTGTCTCCATAAGTAAATCCAACACATACTTCCTTTGAGAGACAAATATCCCTCTCTTGGATCTGGCAAATTCCATTCCCAGAAAGTATTTCAAAGCTCCAAGATCTTTTATCTCAAATTCCTTTGCAAGAAAAGACTTCAAATCCTCCAATTCTCTTTTATTATCTCCAATCAAGATTATGTCATCCACATAAACAGTAAGTATGGCTATCTTACCATTACTTGAATGTTTGTAGATCAGAGTGTGATCAGCCTGACTTTGATGATATCCATGAGCCTTGATAGCTTTAGTGAATCGATCAAACCATGCTCTGGGTGATTGTTTCAAACCATATAACTATTTCTTCAATTTACACACCTTTCCAGCTCCAAAATCATTTTCAAATCCTATTGGTAGATTCATAAACACTTCTTCCTTTAGCTCACCATTTAAGAACGCATTCTTTACATCTAACTGCTGCAATGGCCAACTCAAGCTCGCAACAAGAGACAACAACACCTGTATGGAATTTACCTTTGCCACCGGGGCAAAGGTTTCATGGTAATTTATTCCATATGTTTGGGTGAAGCCTTTAGCTACGAGTCTCGCCTTGTATCTCTCAATATTACCATCAGCCTTATATTTGACCGTGAACACCCATTTGCAGCCTATGGTCTTCTTCTCCCTTGGCAACTCAACAATCTCCCAAGTTTTGCTCTTATCAAGAACCCTCATCTCTTCCATAACTGCTGCCTTCCACTCAGTATGATTCAAGGCCTCCTGTATAGTTCTAGGAATTGAAACACTAGATAGATTAGTGGTAAAAGCTCTATAATTTGGAGACAATCTATGGTAGGACACATATTTAGCAATAGGATGCATGGTCCAAGAGCGAGTACCCTTCCTAAGTGCAATAGGAATATCAAGTTCATGAGAAAGGCTCTCTTCATTGTTGGTTTCAGGAATTAAAGATGCATTAGAGACAGAAATACTTGTTTCATTCAAGTTGCCTTTATCTGGAGAATTTTCTTGGCAGGTAGTAGGTTGGAGCTCTTTATTTTGATCCTTCCTTCTTCAAGAGTAAACACGGAGCTCAGATTGAGGTTGGATTTGAAGTGGTTCTCCCCCTCCCCCTGAAGGGTAGTCTACAATGTTTGACTCAATAGGCTTCGGAGAGGTTGAAATAGTGGGTTCAGTAGGTAAGGTAGAGTTTGGTGAAACACTCGGCAATGGTAAAGAGCCCAACACTTCCCAAAAATGGTCTTCCCTCTCATTACTCTCCCCCTTAAGAGTATTTTTGGAGAAATAGGGCTGAGTCTCAAAAAAGGTCACATCCATACTCGCAAATAATTTTTTAGAGGTGAGGTTATGACATTTATACCCTTTATGTTTAGGAGAGTACTCAACAAACACGCACTTTTCATCCCTAGGATCAAGTTTTGAACGGTCCCGTGTATGAACATGTACAAAACCAGTGCATCCAAACACTTTAAGAGGTATGAGGTGAAGATCCTACTATGGGGAAAAACTGTCAGCAAGTTGTTTACAGGCGTCTCAAATTTCAACACCCTAGTTGGCATTTTGTTGATCAAGTATGAAGCTGTAAGAACAGCCTCACCCCATAGATATTTAGGAACCCCCATAGTGAACATTATTGCCCTAGCAACCTCGAGTAAATGACGGTTTTTTCTCTGAGCTATCCCGTTTTGCTGTGGGGTATCAAAGCAAGTGGACTGATGGAAAATACCCTTTTCTTTCAAAAAAAATCACCAAGAATAAAGTTAAAGAATTCTTTTCCATTGTCGGTTCTAAATACTTGAATCCGGGTTTGAAACTGGTTTTCAATCATGGCATAGAACTCTTTAAACACTCTCGCAGCCTCAGATTTTTCTCTCAAAAGATATACCCAACACACTCTAGTATGGTCATCAATGAAAGTGATGAACATCGTGAACCACCTAGTTACAGTCACATTATTAACCCGAGAAGGCCCCCACACATCACTATGAATCAAATAAAATGGTTTGGATGCTTGATATAAATAAGAAGGATAAGAAACACGATGATGCTTTGACAATTGACAAGATTCACATTGAAAAAACAAAGGATTTAAATTTTTGAACAGGGATGGAAACAAATGTTTCAAGTAAGAGAAACTAGGATGGCCTAACCTATAGTGCCATAACATTATTTGACTTTTAATAGAAATATCACTACTACTTGCAACTTGTGCTTGTCCACTCTTGAAGATTTCATTATCAAAAAAATAGAGTCCATCAACCAGCACTGCCAGTCATCTTCCCCGAATATTGGTCCTGAAATTTAAGTGAGAATCCAGAAATTTGACAACACAGTTAGAATCCTTGGTGAGTTTACTAACTGATAAAAGATTGCATGAAAGGTTAGACACATGGAGGACAGATTTTAAAACAGGGTTTTTAAGACAACTACAGAACCTTTTCCTGCAACTGGAGACAAACTACCATCAGCAATACAAATTTTTTAGTGACCAGAACTTGGAAAATATGTACTAAACAAATGTGATAAACTAGTCATATGATCAAATGCACCAGAATCAATGATCCAAGGTGCCGGATTTAAAGAACTAGTGAGAGCACTTAAAGAGCTACCTTTTTGGGAAAGAGCTACCTTTATGAGACACTTGAAACCTGAGTTTGGTTTAGCAGTTTGGAGAGATGATCAAGCTGCTCCTTATTGAATGGGGATGTCTCGGTTTCAGTAGTAGCCTGCATTACATGCCCATTCTTGTCTCCAAATCTGCCTACCTTCCAATTTACTGGTTTTCCATGTAGTTTCCAGCATGTTTCTCGCGTGTGCGTTGGTTTGTTACAGAAATCACACCAGATCCTGGTTTTTTCTTCAATCTTCCGTTGTGGGTGATTTGTTGGTTTTGGATTAACTGCAGCTGCTGCCATTTCAGTGGTTGTTAAATTGAGTGCAGAGTTTTCACTATGAGTGCTAGAGGATTTCTTTCCCATCATCGCCAACCTGCGGTTTTCTTCCCTCCTAACTTCGGAGAAGACTTCTCCAGTGGTAGGTAGTGGCTCTTGGCCTAGAATACGTCCTCTCACTTCATCTAACTCAGCATTGAGTCCAGCCAAAAATTCAAATACACGGTCCTTCTCAACTGTTTTCTTGAACTGGGCGCTATCACTTGCACACTTCCATTCAAAATCATTAAAGAGGTCAAGTTCTTGCCACAAACCTTGTAATATGTTGTAATACTTTGAAACAGTCTGATCTCCTTGTCTTGTTTCTCGGATCCTTGTTTTAATTTCATAGACTTGTGCAGCATTACCTAAGTCTGAGTATGTCTCACTCACTGCGTCCCATAATTCTTTGGCAGTGCAAAATTACAGAAATGTCTGGCCTATCTCCGATTCTATGGAGTTCACTAGCCATGACATAATCATGAAATTTTCTGCATCCCAAATGGCATACTGGATCATCTTCCTTTGGAGCCTGCTTTGCACCAGTTAAATAACAAATCTTCCCCCGCCCTCGGACGAACAATTTTACAGATTGAGACCACCATAGAAAATTTTGTCCATTCAGCCGATGAGTGGTAATTTGGAGGATTGGGTTGTCACCTGAACCGGATGAACTTATATGGGATTTTCGAGCATTTGAAGAATCGACCGAAACTTCCTCAATGGAGATTCCAAACATCGCGGATTTAACCAAAGAAATCGTCCAGAAACGACAAAGAGAAATAGAAGAATAAGTCTTCTATAATTCTGGTATAAACGACCAGAATTAACGATGAATGTTTGCTGA